TGATATATTCTGCTGAAAAGTTGAGATTTTTGCTAAGATCTGAAATACTGGAAATACTTGTCTTCATTTCTTTCAATATTCTTGACTTTCATGTCTTTATTGCATCAAGCATTGTAATTCAGCTTGATGAGAATATGTATGAGATTTTATTCTTTGTTTTCATCACCTCTGCAACTGTCTTGTCCAGATTGTTCTTTGAGAATGTAAGAAAATACATTCATCTGGTTTCAATATGAAGCTTTTGTTCTGTTGGCCAAATTTCCTTCTCATACACTTCTGTATCTGAGTGCTGAATTCAGTGACATCTCTTCAACAGATCACTGAATATTGAGAATGAGTTTGATTCCTTGTCTGTCTGATATTCTTCATTGATGTCATTATGTTCATTCTATGATACAGATATATCAATATATGATTTCTTTTGAAATTGGTGATTTGTCTCAGTAAACCTATCAGATGAGAGAGTTCAGAGAGATCTATTAAACTGAGATCTATGACCATACTTATTTTCAGGATTTTAATAGAATTTTGATAGTATTCTGATAAAATAATCAGCTACTTGCAGAAATATAACAAAGAAAGTATAATTATTAATATTAAGATGATGTTTGTCACTGATTGTGACTTTTATTAATATATTCCTTTTCAGTAATTCAACCTCATCTCTTTATTTTATCAAGACTGCTCATTCACTTCATTCATATCTTTTCAACTATGCAACTTTTTTCTACAAATCATATCAGAAAGCAAAATGTTGTATCTGTTTAATTAAAATCTGAAACACTATCTGCTATCTGCCTCTAGACAAGAATCTGGAAATGATCAATTGAAATTTCAACATCAGAGCCTCTCTTTCTCAGAAACTGCAAATGAAGATTTTACTGACAGTGATTCAGACAATGATGCTCTCAGTGAAGAAGTATTACTATTCTCAGTAAGTTTATCACTTTTAATGTCTCTATTATTATAAAAACTAACATTCTCTAAAGACAGAGTCATATAATGAGAATGCTGCTGATAATATTGAGCATATTGAGTGACTTTTGAAAGCAGCTGCTGAGGAGAATATTTCTGAAAATGATGATTAAGAGAATTCTGATGAGTCAGTTACTGATGATATTGAAATGCCAGCTGCTGATACAATTACTATTACTATTACTGATCAATTTGTTGATTCTGATTCAGTAATTGATATATCTCACAAACACAGTAACTTTGAAATGAATTCATTTGTTCTGACAATGAGACTCTGAGCTGAAGAGTCAGATATTTTCTGAAAAAACTACAAATCACTACTATAAATTCTGTGTTTATTGAAGAATACATTGCTGATAAGTCTGCTCTCTGAAGGTCTATCAACTCTGAAAAAGCAATGCAGAGCACAATTTCTGATTTTATCAGTCAAGAAAACCTTAATTTCAATAGTATCATCAATGCAAATATCAACTCTGAGTTCTACTCAGAAAAATCTCACTGAATTCTTCATGAGATCACTTTACTTTCAAAATCTGATTCTCTTGATATCTGCTCTTCTCAAATTCCCAACTTTCCAGCAACAAATGTATATAGAAATGACAGAAATTATCAACAATCTCACAGAGTTATAGCAATCTCACAGTTGAGAGAGCTCTGTCAAATATTGTTTCAGTGACTTTATATGATATTTATTAATAAATAAACCTCTTTTTCCTTCTGATTTTATTCAGTATCAGTGTGAGAATCTTGAATGCTACTGTAAATCAGAGTTGAATAATATATCTCATATTGAAAGAGTGCATTTTGTCAGACATGATCACTGACATTCAGATATGAGACTTTATATGATAGTTCTAAAAGTTCAAGAAGCTGTTCACTATACTCTGCAGACTGCATAAAGATTACTGTTCTTGAATTCATTATTTAACTTCTTCAAAATAATCACAATGAAGAATGAGATGAAATATATCTCAATTACTCAAGTTCTCAATCAACTTGATATTTATATGAATACAGTATTTGAATCAGGTTCTGATCTGCTGATATATAAGAGTCAAGATCAGTATTTTCTTCACTAAGTCATGAGAATCAAAACTGAAGTTATTAAGATATAATTATATTGCAAATCTTCACTGATTCAGACTGAGTTGAAAATTGCAGCACATGATCAAGATCTTTTGAAAAGTATATTTTACTCTGATATATAAGTTATTTCCCTGTCATATCAATTATTTATTGATAGATTTGATTTATATCAGAACATGTACTGAAGCTTGATGAGTTTTTATATAATTTCTGCACTGAGTGCTGTTGAGTGCTCAAAGTGAAACAATATTTTTATTCTAATCTTTGATTCTTATAATATCAATTTTTTCAATACTGTCACTGTATTATTGTATGACTTATCTACATTAGATTGTGAGAGAGTTATAATGAATATCAGTGAAGAAAAGATGAGAGTTGTTGTATCTTATATTGCATTTCTTAAAGATATACTGCAGTAAAATAGTAATACAGAGATCAAAGAATCAACTGCAAGAAGATCATGTTAAAGCTGCTTTATTAATGATAAAAATCAGCTGAATCTGAACTATGATCTATGTAATAACAGCTGATTTCATCATCATATGCAACATCTTCAGTCTAAACTGAATGATCTGTCAAATCTCATATATAGAGAGTAAATATGTCAAGAGCAGAGTATAACAGCACAGACAGTGTCTCTTTTTTAAATATACTCAAGTTTGAATTTGATCTTCTTTTTTTCTTCTGATTTATACTATAGTGAGTTTGCTGATATATCAGAGATTTCACACTCATTGCTGATCAGTACTGTCTTATCACTATATAATTAGCTAGAATACTTCTGAATATTGCAGATATTCTCTTTTTCTTATGATTAAAATTATCTACAGTCACTGATCACTCATCTCAAGAAGTATCAGCTTCAAGAACATGCTTGAGCTTCAATCATTATATCTCTTATCTTGTGATGTGAGCTCAGAGAGAAATGACTCAGTTCAGTGATTAAGTAGATTATTTCTATAGCATTTTCAGCATTAAATCAATCATCTATTAATCTTATTATTCAGATATATGCAGTCATTGTAAGAAGTAATAGTTTATTGATATCTCAATCTCTGAGAGAAAATGATTCTGAAGTGACTTATTAAATCATACTTATAGCCTGCTGACAGCTACAATTTCTTATTGAAGCTGTGATAAGAGCAGCAGCAACATTTAAATTATTCTGAGCTGATTCAGTTGTTAGTTATCAGTCATTCTCTGCTTTAACAATGAGCACAGTTGCTACACATATCAGTGATTATACTAAAAAAGCAAAGCTTATATAATATATAAAGAGTCAGCTGAATATGCATATTAGTTTGTACTATATTAAGCTGATTAAAGAATACACTGTATCTAACAACTGCAATGTTCTGACAGAGAAGAATAAGTATTGAGACTACAAGAATCTAGTGCAGTGAATAAATTATTAGAATATGAAGAAGACACTGCTCTTATAGAAGAGCTTTCACTACATCTTATAACTAGTATTAAGAGATTCTTTTAACAGATCTGACTTGTATCTGACATAGAAGATTCAACAGCTATATACAGTTTATTCAGCACTGTTCAATAATCTTCTGAGAATGAATAAAGAATCAGATAATGATGATAATTTATCAAACTACTCTATCAAGTTAAAGTTAATAAAAGATTATATTACTTCAAAGATTTTTAGTCATCTATCATCAAGCAAGATGTCAGAGAAAGTTAATATATAATTTATAAATCTCTTCAAGCTTGAATTACTTTATTCATTTCTTAATAATCTATGAGAATTCTATAATACTGATTGAAATAAGTTCTTAGTTTTGAAATTAGATCATCATTCAATTCTTTTCTATAATAAGTTAACATTCTCAGTTTAATATGTCTCTTCAATTAATCAATCAATTAGTTATTAACTTGTTAACATATAAATCAGAAAGTGTGTTCACTGAATCTTTCTTATGAAGAGAGATATTCTTCAATATCAGAGAACTGATCTTAGCCAGATTATAACTATCTTTATTCATGAAATGAGAAAAATCAAGCAGATTTTCTTTACACTTACTTCTCTATATTATGTCAGACAGAATTATCTACTGAATCTGTCAATTTTATAAGAGAATTCTGATAGTTATACTATTATCAGGCTTTCAGCAGTTCAAAAGACAGTATTATATGACATTTCAATACTGAATACTGATGAAAATGATGATTGTTTAATATATGAATCTCAGATAATAAGATATTTATATTACACTTGAGATGTCTTGTTTCTTTAGATAGTAATTTGATTTATATGAAGTAGTTAACTAGTCTAGCTGAATAGTATACAAGTATTAATTTCACTGACAGAACAGTATATTGTGACTCACAGTATCCCAGTAGTATCTTGATCATGGCATCCACTGATTACATGATGACTGAGCTGTCCCCTGATGATGTCAAGAAGTCCTGTGCTGTTTCAATGCCATCTTGACATTTAATATTCAGCGATGTGTCACTGAATATAATGATGGAACATGTGTTACAATCGGCGACACGTGACACGGGTGGAATGGTGGATCCACGGTGTAATCACCGTAAATTAACCCTATGTTCTTCCCCTATGGTTATTATTACCATGACCATTAACTACATACCAATACATACTCCCCTATTCTACTCTGTACACTCGACTCGCCCCACCTCTATGTGATTATTCCTGAGCATTATCGTTTCTACACAGCAGAGGCTCTCGCAACTCCCCGTCGCTTCGCTTGTGCTCGCGCCTATATAGTCAAAGCCATGTCCTCTCTTCGCGCACAGCTCCCATCGCCACCACACTTACCCATATACTAAGGAGATAAAGAGATAACTACCATTCGATCCTCTCCAATCTATCGGGTACCTAGGTATCTACAGCAGGGAACCCGCTCGCCACTTTAGTCGATATATAACGAGCATCGACCAAAGCGTCCACCTGGTTCAACATGTCGACCATCGACCTCCCGCAGTTTGTTCCCACCCCTGTGGAGGAGATCCCTAACAAGGTCAAGGGAGTCCGCAATACTTTCCTCCTACACAAGACTCGCCCTATCGAGTTCCGGATTCAACAGCTGCGAAAGCTATATTGGGCGTGAGTGTCTAATTTTTATTTTGACCCACTTATTTTAATTTTTAATTTTTCTTTCTTCCCCAAATAAATTTTGTTGTCAACTTTAATATCTATCCGTGTCAAGCTAATTCGTTTCCATCAATTGAATCGACGACAGGCTGAAAGATCGTGAAGATCAAGTCGCGGAGGCCCTTCGTCTGGATTTGGGGAAGCCAAAATATGAAGCCTACGTATCAGAAATCGGAATGGTGGAGAATGACATCGTCTTCGTTCAGAAGAACGTGGCCAAATGGGCCAAAGATGAGAAAGCGCAGGATGTCGACTTGCCCTTCACGTTGATGAAGCCGACAATCAGAAAGGACCCCTTGGGTTGCGTTCTTGTAATCGGGTAAGCTGCGTACGGAAGAAAAAAAACATACATCTCCCCACCCCCCGCCTCCGCTAAAGACATACGTTCGGCGTGTGAACTAATAAAATGGAACGTCCCCTAACTTTTTTCCTTTTTATACAGAGCCTTTAATGTTCCATTTGGCCTGACACTTGGTCCATTAATTGGTGCCATCGCGGCAGGAAATACCGTCGTGGTTAAACCCAGCGAAACATCCCCCAACTGCGCCGCTGTCCTGGGAGAAATCATTACAGCTGCGTTCGATCCAGATGTTGTCACTGTCATCCAAGGAGGCGTTCCGGAAACCCAGGCTCTTCTAAGCGAACGTTGGGATAAGATCTGCTTCACTGGCAGCGCAACCGTGGGTCGCATTGTTGCCAAAGCGGCCGCTCCCAACTTGACCCCAGTTCTCCTTGAGCTTGGTGGCCGCAACCCAGCATTCATCACCAAGAAAGCTAACTTGAGACTGGCTGCAAGGCGGCTATTATGGGGTAAAACTTTCAACGCTGGTCAAATTTGCCTGTCGCAAAACTACATACTTGTCGATAAAGAGGTGGTGTCACAGCTGGTGACGGAGTTTGGCAAGGCGTGGAAGGAATACTACCCCGATGGCGTGAAGGCGTCCCCTGACTACTGCCGTATCGTTAGTGATGCCGCTTTCCGCCGGATTAAAGGCATGATTGATAGCACAAATGGCAAGATTCTGCTCGGAGGCACAATGGATGAGAAAGAGCGGTTTATCGAGCCGACTTTGGTCCAGGTCGACTCTGCGGACGATCCTCTTGTTCGCCAGGAGACCTTCGGTCCAATTATTACGCTTTTGCCTGTGAACAATCTCGATGAAGGGATCAGAATCGCGAATGACGTTGATAGCACTCCGTTGGCTATTTACCCATTTGGAACGAAGCAGGAGGTCGAAAAGGGTACGTTCTTTTTATATTCACTACCAACCCCCCACCGTCCTCCTCCCCAAAAAGACCCTTGTTCTTTCGCTTTATATCCCCGAATTTCTAAAATCATAATTAAGACTAATATAAAATTCCTCCCGTAGTCCTATCCGCCGTTCGCTCCGGAGGCGCAACCATCAACGATTCCTTCATGCACGCTAGCATTCCAACCTTACCGTTCGGCGGTGTCGGTGAGAGTGGAACCGGCTGCTACCACGGGCGAAGCAGCTTCGACTCCTTTGTGCACCGACGGTCGATCGCCGCCACACCAGGCTGGGTCGAGCGCGTCCTCTCTGTTCGATACCCACCATACGCTGGCAAGTTGCAGAAGACGCTCAAGTCCAACGCCGTAGCGCCCAATTTCGATCGGAATGGGAAGACGACGACGGGCCTTTTGGGCTGGATTGTTTGGTTTGTTACGTTTGGCGGGGCTAATAAGTCTGGGGCGAGTCGTGCGGCTGTTGCGGCTATTGGTTAGTGAAATTCTCCTTATCTTTTCCACTATCTTCTTCGAAGTTCATTTGCTCCTTTTTTTTAACTTTTTCTTTTCTATTTTGTCATTTTCTATACCCCATTCACAATTCGACTTCAACTTATCCGAACTCTTGCCATATATATGCCAACCTGTTACGTTTTTCGAACTAGACTCGAAGCCAAAGAACTCCACTTAAATAAGCCCCCATCCCTCTCACGATGTTTATCATCACCCATATTCCTGTTCCCCTTGGTCCCCTTTCTGTACCGGTTCATTTCCGACCATTCCCTTTAATACTCTTCTTGTACATCACCTACTACATCATGTACATCCCAGTCTCTTTGCCCTATATATTTTTTTCTCTCTTATTTGTTGAAACCTCGATACCCAATATTTCACCCAGCACAAAAGCCCCAAGAGCAAAAAAACACAATACTCGCTCTTATCTTTCCTTAAACTATCTCCTTTTTACCATCACCAATGAATATCCCCCTTCACTAACAAAAATAATTTTCATGAAAAAAATATCTAGCCGCCATCGCTATCAACTACTACATCAAGCGCGGAGCCAACCTCTGAAACCAGAAGCAGAAAAACTGTTTTAGCGATATAAAACAGTATCATTATAGTATACAAGAACAATTTCACCAGCTTCTCCCGATTCATAATGCTGCGACCGTTTTCTACTTTTACCATGTTAAATTACATTACTCTTGTACATGTACGTGTACATCTTATGGAAATCGTTTCTTTTCTTTCTTTCTTTCTTTTTCCTTTTCTTTTTTTTTTCTTTTCTTTTTTTTTCCCCTCCATCTATTTACACACACCGATCACTTCCCGCAGGTTCTCTTCCTATTGTTGTTTTTTATTACCTTTCTTCCATACCTTACGTTTGCCAATCATAGTTATGTGCAATCCGCGTTTTCGTTTGTTCGGTACATATGTGTATGTAAGTACTATATATACCTAACAAACATACCATAAATAAATTGTTCTGATGAACTTGTGAACGAAAATTTAAAGTCATGAAAGGGAAAGGAAGCGTCGAAGGGAGAGAAGGCGGAATTCCGCCTTTCCCCCTTTTTGGCTTTTTGGGGCAACTATTTAATTATCTACACTTTACATACCCCCGAGGTTATGAATGAATATACAAGTCACATAGGAGGGAGAGGGAAAGCAGGAAAAGCAGGAGAAAGTAGAAAGATGGATGAACTCGACAAAGAGGGAGGCGTAAGGGAGATTGTGATGATGACGCCGTAAGCCCTCTTCGATCCTGTCAAATTTCCAATGAATGTGCTCCTATCGCATTGATCGGGCGTCCGAGGATCACACCAATACTACCTCTTTTCTCCGGTGGTAAGTCACCTACATAGGTTGGTTTAAATTATCTTTGATGAACCATATCGCATAGTATAACTAAATCGTTCTTCAGGTTTTTATTTAATCACCTAGAACGAACGGTGCTCCCTCTGTAGGTCATGGACATTGAATTGATATATGTATAGTACATACCTACCTACCTACACCAGCAAAGTAAAAAGAACAGCAAACACTTAAACAGTAATTAGCGTTGCAAAAGGACAAAACACCCGCTCTCGATTATGTTCCAATGCAGCAGTCATGAATATCTTTCCTTTTCTTTTTTTAAAGGAAGGCAAGAAATAAACAAACCAAACTCCCACGTCATTTTCCATACCACATACCCCTACCACACGGCCTATCCTCTCCAAAATTTGCACCTCCACAATCTAACACCTCTTCTCCACCCCCTTCTGACTAACACACAGGTACTTAACCCCTTTATACGGCTTGACCCCCTCACCCAGCCCCCGGCTCCTCCGCGCATCAACCAGCAACCCTTCAACCCGTATTCCGCTCGGTAGCCACCCGCGCACCGTGAACGACACAGAAACAGACGATGGCATCAAAGCCGCCATATGCGACTTGCGCGCGCGCTCGAGCGGCGTCGTCGTCGAGCCTTGCAGGCCCGATGATGACGAAGGGTAGTGTTGTTTTGAGGTGTGGTGGGCATGTTCCAGGTCCTGGTAACTGCTCTCGGGCTGGTGGGCGAGGGTGTCGTCGTAGTAGCCGATTAGGGGGTTTGTGCGGTATTGTTTTCTCGCGGAGCTCGGTGTGGATTCGTATCTAGTATTATCATCGTCGTCTTCGTTGGCTGGTGAGGAGAGCGGGCCGATTATCGTGCAGCGCAGGGTTGCGGTGCCGGAGAGGCTGCCTGCGTCTTTGCTGGTTGTAGGGACGCGCCATTCGAGCGTGTCGCCGCCCGGTGTAAAATTCGCTTCGCCGCGGCTAGGACGGAGATCTGTGAGGTTCCGGACGGAGGTGGAGATGGGGACTGTGACTACTACTTCGTCTATGGTTGGGGCGTTGGATGTGGAACTGGAGCTGCCTCCGAGGAATGATGGGGTGGATGTCCCTGAACCCCGGCCGGGTAATCCACTCCTAGGTGGTAAGCCGGGGAAGTTGGTGTTTAAGGTAAGTCGGACTTCGAATTCGGCCCCGGTTGGGCCCAGGGACCTTTGTAGGTCTACGCTAGCAGGTAGGAATAGCTTCTCCATGTGGCTAGGTGGATTGTCCTTGTCAGGTTCGATGGGCTGTAGGTCAACTTCATACCCTGCAAGCACAAAACGCCCGTCAGGAGGGACGAAGCTGAGCTCTCCCGGTTTTTCCCTCCATCGTGCAAGACGAACGCAGGGGTGAAATACGGGGAGTTGAAGCTTGTGGGCTACGTTTTTTTGACCTCCCGGGGCGCCGAGGGAGAGCAACAAGTCGGGCACCCCTGATATTTTCGCAGTGAAGACAATAGTCCCATGTACTAGTGCTGAAATAGGTCTTCCCGAGGGAGCCAGTGTAACGGACAAAGACTCAACTATATCGACGTATAGTTCGTTGGACGTATGCCGGACCCCCTGTCGTCGCCACGGAATGGCTGGTGCTGACGCTCCATTTACATGCGCCGCAGTGGCCAGTGATGATTTCAGCGAATTCGAAGGTCCAAGGGCGGGTGAAGCACTGTTTTATTATTCATACAGCGGCCGGTCAGCCCATCACCTCCAAAACAGACAAACGACAGCTTCCATAAACTCAAAACAAAAGCTCCGAAATGATCAAGGGGGTTGTATATTGACCCTGGCAAGCCAACCCCGACAAGCAACTTATCCATCCACCCGGGAATCTCAACGGTTTCCTGCAGCGCATTCGGTTCGGTATTGCAAATAATACCGCCATCGCACATCTCATTCAACAATTGCGCAACAACGTCATAGTTGCTCTGTATCTTCCCCGCCAGGAGCGGGGCGCCGACGAATTCCTCCAACACATCAATGACGCGGTGAAGAAATTCGAGAACGAGGAGGGGTTCGCTCTCCGTACTCGAGGGGATTAGGAACAGTAGATTTGAATGCGTTACGGAGAAAACCGATGTTGGGGGCGTCGCGTTGGAGAGATATAGCAGCGAAGGACGCGGGCTGGGATGGGCGAGGAAGAGACCGAGTAGCGTAACGGCGGCAGGTGGGCGGCCGCGGTAGACGTGCTCAAGGATCGGAGTACTAGAAATTCAAGCCGGGCTTGGTCAGTAAGATAATAAAAAGAGATACCTGTAGTCCAATTTTTGATAATGAATCACTTACTTCAGCTCATCAAATATATAAAGCGCTTCTATGGCGCTGTTCATTGTTGCAGCTTGCGGTATCTTTGGTGCTTGGGATCAGCTACAGGCAACAAGAGGCTCCGGCGGGGAAGGGATTGTTGGCGTAGGATTGATTACATAAGTTAAGAGTTTGGTCATTCTCTCTGCCAATCTTAAAGACGAGCAGAAGTTGAGTGTTAAATCGCAACCAGCTCGGAGCTCTCTTGGGAGAAAAGTATGTATGATCCAGCACCTCTCCGCGCTCTATGATTAACTAGTAAATGCATTGCCTATTCTAGGGATGCGTTCAGTACAGCTGATTAACTTTGGATAGTTAGAACAAAAACTACAGGAAGGGAGCGATGATATGACGAAAGGATCTCCTACCTGGTTCCCGCTTCTAAGTGTGCAAATCGCCTCACGCTTCCACAGCTAATAAGATAAGCCTACCATGGCCAAAGAAGATACTTCATGGGATATAACTCCCAAGGATATGAAGAAGGCGATTGCCCAGGAAAAATACCAGGATGATTGCCTTGCTTGTAAGGTTACAGGTACGGGAACTCATCCTCCTCCCCCCAGCTCCTCGCGAGGATGCGCAAGAAAACTAGGCACAGGCAATTTATTCTAATACGGCAAAAAAAAAAAAAAAAAATCTTATAGGAAGTTTGGCTTTTATCGGACTCGGCGTATATAGCTACATCTCCGGCATGAACAATCTCACGAAGCAAGAAAAAGTCATCCTGAAGAGCAAGTCTCCGTATAGAATGGGTTCAAGACGGCTAGGCATTGCGACGATATCGGCGACGCTGGTTGGGATGGGGATATGGCGTGCTCTTCACTGAAACCGAAAGGAAATGCGATACCACTCCATTACGCGATGTTTGTTGGACGTTGCTCGAAGACGATTGTGTTGCATGACAGGACAGGGAGACTGGATGTCCATGGGAACATTTGTCTCCTTGTGAGGCTATAAGATAACCTTGTGGCTCTGAATGGAGGATATGATTTGTATACATGAATTTAGTTAAAGAGCTCATATCATCTGGTCATGGGTATCTTGATTGGATGCTATCTATGTAATGTATGAAAATGCTAGAATACTGACTCCGTAAATGCTTCTAATCATGATATGACCTTTGGGTTGGCCGTTGGAAACAAAAGGGACAATGAGCCAGAAGAAAGGGTATGTGGGGATGTGGGGATAAAGACTAAGCTAAATGACAAAAGGGTCGAACAACAAGACAAGCAAAGAGCAGAAAGAAAAGAAAGCAAAACAAAAAGTAAAAGTAAATGAAAACCATAATAATGCTCCGTCGTTATCATCCCATCCCAAGGAATTCTGTCTAACCCAATATTATGCCCCCAAATGACGGCGTGCCATTACTTCAGATAAAGCGGCCCCGCTTGCCGCCTCCAAAAGCCTCTCGTCCGTTCCCAAGACTGGAGATATCAAAAAAATCTCCAAAATGGAATTTTCTCTTGGATCCATTGTTTGAAACGGGATCCCGCGCCGACGCTCGTGCGCTATGTCGATTACCGTTATTGAGTCGATGGGGGGTTCTTGATCCTCGAGGAACTACTTCAACCCTGACGGTTGGGGAGCTATTGATAGTCGACGAGTGTGGCAGGTGGGAGGAATCCGGTTGCAAGGATGCAGGAGTAGTCACTGGCACATACTCAGAAGTTTGCATGTCGATATCGGACTGTTGAAGGACCGGGAACTGCGGTCCAGTGGTGAACGTGAAGGTGGTTGGTCTGGATGGCGTAGTAGATAAGTCAGGGGGTGCTGACGGTTGGAGGGTACTGGTTTCTTGCCGCGGGGGAGAGGTGGCTCTAGGTGCTTGGGATGTATGATTAACGTCCGGAGTCTGTTTTCTCGTGACGGTTGGGGATATACTCCGCTCTCGTTTGCTGTCGACCTCTCCTCGCTCATCGTCACTATCCATCGAAGAGGTGGCGGCGGCGGTTCCATCTATTCGCTCTGCGACCCAACATCGCACTTTCGACCCTTCCCCATCACTCAACCCAATCTTTTCCCTGTCGAGAAAAGCGCGAAGGTCTTCCAGAGCTTCTTGGTATCCAGTTTGGCGGGCATTTGCTTGGTCAGAAACGGCGGTTTTGTAGAGGTTTGTCACGGAGAGGGCTGCAGTTTTGAACGCTTGGAGCAGCTGCTCAGGAGGCTGTGCATAGTTTGGACGAGGCGACGAAACTGGCAGAGACGTATTGAGAGATCTCATCGAGTCCATGGCGCGAGGTGTTTTGGCAGTTTGGGGTGCAGCCAAAAAAAAATATCTTCGTCTGCGTCGGCAACCCAAAAGGACCCCTCGTTGCTAGGGCAGTATTCAGATGAACCTTCCAAGACTAATGAGTAAAGTGGGTAGTTAACGAACTTAATAAGGTTCCAAGCTCGGCAAAAAAGAAAAAACAGATGGAACAACAAGAAGAAGAAAGCTGCTCTCAGACACCGAAAGGGAATGCAATATAGAGTAGCATACAACCAAGGGGACAGGTGGTCGGGAGGAGGCGGTATATCAAAGAGGAATTATGGCAGATTGTAGGAGTACCTCGATGGTGAGTTTGCCCGCCAAGCCGTAGTTACCACATGACAAGCACTGTCGGACAATAGATATTCCGACTACATGAAAAACCCGCTGAGTCAGTCAGCGCCCGGCCAATCGGCGCGCGTGAAAGGGCTCCGGGTCTTTTCGAGCCCTTCCAACCTAGAGCCACGCGATTCATTCAGATACTACCATCTTCAATCGCGAACCCTCAACCTTTCACTAATGACATGAACCCTGCCAGCCACGGCCACTCCCACGCTTTCTTCCTATCTCTCTGCATCTCCGCGTTGCCTGCTCTCAGCACATTCTGTGCTTTGTGGTTGTTGAAACGCGTTTAGCCTTTCATATCACCTTGTTCCTGGCTGGACGCCGCGCCGTGCAGCCTGCTCGCAAAGCACATATGGCCCCTTCGCTCTCTCATCTGTCTGGGTCGGAGTCACCCGCCCAGGCAGATACTCCTATGGCTGATGCCAATGGTTATCCTTCCAATACTATGGAGGGAACCCGTGATGAGGACCAAAGCATGGTGGTAAACTTTTTTAACCCCCCCCCTTTCAAACAGCCCACTCGGGCCATATATGACTATCTTCAAGTCATCCAATGTTAAAAAATCGCTAACACTTCCAGGATTATCAGGACACTCCAGACTACACGGTATGTCTTCTGTCAACTTTTGCCGCCCGCGAAAATAGATATCATTTTAAACACTTAGACCATACGCTCTAACATTTAGCCAGGATTCCGATACGAACCCAAATACGACCGCAAGTAGTATCGCGGGCGATATAGCTCAACAAGATGGACGAAAACGAAGATCAGAGGCCTTTCAACTCCGGAAAAGCGTGCTGGGACGAAAACATGGCCGTCTCGATGAATCAAAGGTAAGTCAATCATGCCCCAGCTCGCCCTCTCCTCCCTGCAGAATAAGTCTTCCTCAAATCAGATACATTCTGATGTCATTATTTTTTTTATTTTTTGTAGGAAGATGATTCGATCCGCAGATTTCGCTACCTGCTAGGATTAACTGATCTTTTCCGCCACTTTATTGAAACAAATCCAAATCCCCGCATAAAGGAAATTATGGCAGAGATAGATCGCCAGAATGAAGCGGAGGCCAACTCCAGGAAAGGCCTCACTCGTAAAGGAGGTGCCAGCGGTGAACGGCGGCGGCGAACAGAGCAAGAAGAAGATGCTGAACTCCTAAAAGACGAGAAACGAGGTGGCCAGGCGGAGACAGTATTCCGCGAATCACCAGCGTTTGTCAAGGGAGGTGAAATGAGAGATTACCAGGTCGCTGGTTTGAACTGGCTAGTCTCGCTTCACGAAAATGGTATTTCTGGAATTCTAGCCGACGAGATGGGGCTCGGGAAGACACTACAGACAATTGCTTTTCTAGGCTACCTACGGCACTTACGCGGAATAACTGGTCCGCATCTCATTACCGTTCCAAAATCAACCCTCGATAATTGGCATCGAGAATTCTCAAAGTGGACCCCTGACGTCAACGTTCTCGTGCTGCAGGGTGCAAAGGAGGACCGCCACAAACTCATCAATGAACGACTCGTTGACGAGAAGTTTGACGTATGTATCACGAGTTACGAGATGGTTCTAAGGGAGAAATCTCATCTGAAAAAGTTTGCTTGGGAGTATATCATTATTGACGAGGCCCATCGGATCAAAAATGAAGAATCTTCTCTAGCTCAAATCATCCGTGTGTTCCATTCAAGAAATCGACTCCTCATTACCGGAACACCTCTCCAGAATAATCTCCACGAGCTGTGGGCTCTACTCAATTTCCTTTTACCCGATGTTTTCGGAGATTCTGACGCATTCGACCAGTGGTTCTCCAATCAGGAAGCGGATCAGGATACCGTGGTTCAGCAACTCCATCGAGTTCTCCGACCATTTTTGCTCCGGCGTGTTAAGAGTGATGTCGAAAAGAGCTTATTGCCGAAAAAGGAAATGAATTTGTACGTGGGCATGTCCGATATGCAGGTAAAATGGTACCAGAAAATCCTAGAGAAGGATATCGATGCTGTCAATGGAGCCCAAGGGAAGCGCGAATCAAAAACTCGCCTTCTTAATATCGTTATGCAACTGAGGAAGTGCTGTAACCACCCTTACCTTTTTGAGGGTGCGGAACCGGGGCCTCCTTACACCACAGATGAGCACCTGATCGACAACGCCGGAAAAATGGTGATTTTAGATAAGATCTTAAAGCGAATGAAGAATCAAGGAAGCCGCGTCTTGATCTTCTCACAGATGAGCCGTGTTCTTGATATTTTGGAGGATTACTGTGTTTTCCGCGAACATCAATATTGTCGAATTGACGGCTCAACTGCTCATGAAGACCGTATTGCTGCCATTGATGAATACAACCGTCCCGGCTCGGAAAAGTTTATTTTCCTCCTCACGACACGCGCTGGTGGCCTAGGAATCAATCTAACCAGCGCTGATATTGTCATCCTATATGACAGCGACTGGAATCCCCAGGCAGATTTACAAGCCATGGACCGCGCCCATCGTATCGGCCAAACGAAACAAGTTATTGTTTTCCGTTTTGTGACTGAAAATGCCATTGAAGAAAAAGTCCTCGAACGCGCAGCACAAAAATTGAGGCTAGACCAACTAGTTATCCAACAGGGGCGTGCTCAACAGCAAGTGAAGAATGCGGCGTCTAAGGACGAACTATTGAGCATGATCCAACACGGTGCTGCTAGCGTTTTCAGCACCAAAGGCCCAACCGGGGCTCTGGCAAAAGGCAATGACATTTCAGAGGATGATATCGATGAAATTTTGAGAAAGGGCGAAGAACGCACCGCGGAGCTGAATAAGAAATACGAGAAACTCGGAATCGATGACCTTCAGAAGTTCACATCCGATAACGCGTATGAGTGGAACGGTGAGGACTTCACTAATCGAAAGAAGGACATCGGGATCAACTGGATCAACCCTGCAAAACGTGAACGGAAAGAACAATCGTACTCGATGGACCAGTACTATCGACAGGCATTGGCTACTGGAGGCAGGACGGCTGATCCAAAGCCTAAAGTCCCCCGGGCACCGAAACAAATTGCCGTCCACGACTGGCAGTTCTTCCCGCCTAAACTCCAGGAGTTACAGGAAAAAGAAACCGCCTACTTCCATAAAGAGATTGGATACAAGGCGGTCCTACCTGACGGGCCTGACGAGGAACTGAGTGATAGAGAAGCAGAGCGAGAATTAGAACAGCAGGAAATTGACAATGCTGTTCCGTTAACGGAAGAGGAACAGGAACAAAAGGCCGCCCTGTCCGAAGAAGGCTTTGGTAATTGGAATCGAAGAGACTTTCAACAGTTTATCAACGGGTCCGCAAAATTCGGTCGCACTAATTATACCGAGATTGCTACTGAAGTGGACAGCAAGGACCCAGATGAAATCAAAGAGTATGCAAAGGTCTTCTGGAAGCGATATACCGAAATTCAAGATTACCCCAAATATATCCGTGTCATCGAGCAAGGCGAAGAAAAGATGCGCAAAATGAACCACCAACGCAAGATGCTTCGCAAGAAAATGGAAATGTACCGCGTCCCCCTCCAACAATTGAAAGTGAATTATACCGTCTCCACGACAAATAAGAAGGTATACACGGAAGAGGAAGACAGATTCCTCCTTGTGATGCTGGATAGGCACGGCGTCGATGGCGAAGGCCTCTACGAGAAAATCAGAGAGGAAATCAGGGAAAGCCCGCTCTTTCGTTTCGACTGGTTCTTCCTAAGCCGGACACCCGTTGAGATTGGTCGACGATGCACGACTCTACTAAACACCGTCG